GCCTCTGATTAGTTCATGACATTTCAAGCACTCGCTTAAGACAATGTCGAATCTTGAGCAACATCTATGAATTCCGTCCTACAAGTCACATTAGAACAGAAAAATTAAGATATATGAGGTAATAATACGAAGGTAGCGCGGATGTAAAATATGTGCAAGTAATATACAACATACAACGATATGAATATCTTATATTTATAATTATATTGTAAAAGTTATATGAATGTACTAGTATGCTTAGTAATTTAATGCTAATGTATGCATAGTTTTGATAACTGAATGTTAACATTGGCTAGATGATAGTACATTATAGGTACAATTAATATTACAAGAAGACAAATTTTGTTTATTTTATATTTATTCGCTATTTCCACTACCTCTGCATAAATTTGATAAAGTATTCATTCGTGAAAAAAATACTCAATTTTTTATCTCTACTAAAATTTAATGATAACATTAATTGGAAAATTTGTAATGGAAAAAATATACGTATTTTTATAAATCCTGCGTATTTTTTTAATGTGATATCCAAAAAACAAAAATTTGCTCATTTACAATAACCATCATGTATGCTACATTGTTCGTTTATATTTATTTTACACATATGACGAGAAATATTATACGTCTTATAATAAATGATAAATGCACAAAATTCGTTATATTTCAATTTCATGAAAAGTGTAAAAAAAATAAATGTAAATTTAAATAATATAATATTAATGTTATTCCGTGAAGAGCCGTGCTAAATATCTTATGCAAATTTATAAACAAGTCAATCAACAATGAGCATTGAAAAATAACGTGTTTCAAGATTCTCGAAAACTTGCTAAGTAAATTGAGATATATAAATGGAAATATTTTGGTAAGAGAAATTAACAAAAAAATTGTTAAACAAAACTAGGCCTCTAATTCTTAAAAAATAAATACAAAATGCTAGGAAAATTTATAATATATGTAACTACACACACGCACACACACACACACATATATATATATATATATGTGTAACGTAGATTATTTTTATATATTTCATATGTGATATTTTTCGAGAATATATATATATATATATATACGACTCCAATCCTAAGCGAAAGACACGACTCATAAAACTCGGAGAAATCGAAGTTATTAGGAAAGTATATTCTGGAAGAGGAAGAAGGTGGCAGCGCGAAAACTGTCGAACGTGTCACGCCGGGATCTCGAAACATTGCTCCTGTTACTAAAAGAACATGACCTGCGAGGAGGTTACAGAAAACATCTCATCAGTTATCATTTCCTACTTTACCATTATATCTACAATACCGACATCCAATCGTCAATTAATTTAATTGGCGTAAAAGAAATAATATTAAAAATGTAATATTAAACTACAATTAAATGGTGCATGCGCATTTGTCACAAAAATACAATGATTAGAAAGATTGTCATGCTTTGCACATTGTTCCTGAAAATAAAAATCGGAGCATGAATCGAATATAATGGGAGAATAATAGAACATTTACGCTTTTTTTACATTTTGATGTTTCAATTTTCAAAAAATTCTTAGAAGTTTCGTTCACGGTTCTATTACTCTCTCATTACATTCGACTTACGCTCTGATTTTTATTTTTATTACGACACAATTAAAATTAAAAAAAGTTGATAGAGAATAATAAAGAATGATAGGATTTCTATATCAACTTGTATCATTTTCTGTAAGTTTATATTATTTTCTATCGTTGACCTCGCGAGCATTACGATTGATCGGATATGAATCCTATCGTATTTTATTGGACTGTACTTAAGATTGTACTTATAAGACGATCTAATATAAGATCTAACCATGAACAGGCAGAGAAAAACCTGAATCTCTATTAATTTGATAAATTTTAGTTATTTCAGCGATTTCAGCGATTTATTTCCATCAGGAGCATCGCAAAAAAAATGGATATTGTTGTGTAGCTTACAGAAAAAAGACCATCACATCTTCTCTCATCAGGTTTCTCTCTAATAGTATTTTCTCTCATAATATTTGCTTCAGAATATTTCGATTTTTTTCTGAGTGTTTTTGACATCGATCATTCATCAAATGGATATTGATCCCTTTCTCGTTAATCCAAATTATTTATCAATACTTCATAAACATTATTTATTATCAGATTTGTTGTTAAATGTAAGAAAAATTAATAGATTGCTAAAAGGAGCGTGCGAATATCTCGAGATTAAGACCACGCTCTCGTCAAAAAATATTTAATATAAAATATCAGTCGCTAAATGGTGTAAGAAAGATTAACAAACTTCTTGGATATTGTCAAAATATATCTCAACATTTTAATGTTTCGATTATTTATCAACTAATCATTCTGCTGTTTAATCAGAACGCGTATCTCTATATATTGATTCGGATTGCGGTTGTATATCAATTATTTGAACAAATCTAATTAAAATATTTAATAACAGAATATTTTTAACCTAAATAATAATTAAGACAAAAGCAGGAATTCGATCACTTATCAGTATTAAACACTCGAAAACTTATAGAAATATGTAAATCGATAAATTCGGTAAATTTAAATGGTAAAGATAGATGAGAATCGGGTTTCTCAACGTCGAAAATCTGAGGAAAATACATCTGAAGTAATAGGAGCGCATATTGAGCGACAAGGTTGCCGGAGGTATTCTACCGTCTCCGTCGTACCAACGGAACTCCCACCCTACTCTTACCGCCAACCTCCTCGCTTATTCTGCTTTGCTAATACTTCAGGCGATTTTCGAGATTTTCGACACCGAGAAACTGCGAGAAACCTTATTCTCGGACTATCTTATTGTTATCTGAATTTACTATTCTATTTAATTTTGTAATTTTTTGATCGTCCAGATGCAAAATTAAGAGAGAAAGAGAGAGTTTCCGCTTTTATTTAATTATTATTTCGAATAAGATTATTCTGTTTTTATTTGTTTAATTATTAATATAATTATTGATTAAATTTAATTGTGTTCAAATATCTGGAGACACTGGTAGTGTCTCGGCGTAATAATTTATATACGCGAAACACAGTAAATATTATGCGCATTGAAATGTTTATAAAATAACGATTTTAATCTGCATTTTTGTTTATTTCAAAACAATAAAATACTTATTAAATTATTGTATTAAATAATATTGTCAAATAATTTAATAACTACAAAATCGTTGGTATTGATTTATCAGCAACATCGTCGAATACTGTGTAATCTAATCTAAACTGTAGCATTCTCTGCATTGTAATAACGCTTTTCTCATTAATATAAATAATAATAATATTCTATGATTCTCTTTGTTGGAACTTTTGCTAAAATGTATAAAAAAATTAATAACAAAAAAAATACCTTTTAAAAATCAAGCTATTTCTCTTTTTCAGTATCCGAAGATTTGTCTTTATCATACTTGACTAATAATTCTAGAATTGTTTATGCATTTTTTTTTAAATATATCAGAAAGATAGAAATTTAAGATAAGTAATACAAAATAACAAATATAAATAAAGATGTTAAAAGACAGATTTTAACTCATTTGAGTGGATATGTAAGAGATTTGTGTTTATTTGGTTCGCTGAAACTTATACAATAATATTCCAACATACTGTTTATTATTGGATCTTTTTTTTTAAGGGCTTGGAAAATACATAACTCAATAGAGAAATGATTCACTATTTATATTTTCAAATAGGCTTATTTACAAATTTTACATTTTACAATCTTCCATAGGTATGATAATAACGTAGCATTACTGCAATTTAGTTCGCATCCTTTATTTATACAATCATTATAATAAATTATATGTATATTTCTTTTAAAGTATATTTACGCACACATACGCGAGTGTGCCCCATATATGTATATAAAGTGATTCATTTTTTTTTAATGCTTGCATCTGAAATAATTTAGCTGTCTCCAAAAAAAAACGAGAATTCTTGAGATCGAAATTGTTCTTACTATATTTTTTACAGCATGTGAAAGTTATTTTAATTCTTCAGTGGCGCGTCAATCTTTTATGTAAGTTTTTCTTCTCACTCTGAAAAAGTGAAATAAAATAAAAAATAGAAAAGTTATCGTACATCTTTAAAGGTAACAAGGATATCTTTCAGATGCAAGCATTGATTCACTCTGTATACGTATATAGAATAATTCTAAAACAAATTCTCAAATTTTGTGACACATTCTCTCTTTAATAAATTAGAAATTAACTTTTCTTTAAAAGATATTTAATTAAATACAACTCTTTACATTTCCTTTTTGTAAGAAATGTAAATTATTAGATGTAAAACTTAGGAAAATTTAAATTCCATTAAATTAAATTTTAAAATATTTTATAAATTAATCAAAGAGTAG